TCATATGTTTTAGTCTCCAGTCCCCTAATCATCCTGGTTGCCCTTCTCTGCACTTTTTCTAGAGTCTCAACATCTTTTTTCTAGTGTGGGGACCAAAACTGGATGCAGTATTCTAGATGTGGTCTTATTAGGGCCTTGTAGAGTGATATTAGAACCTCACTTGATCTTGATTGTATCCTTCTGTTATATAATGCGGAGGAGACGGGGGCCAGGAAAGAGCCAGGTTAGTGGCACCAGTCCCTGCGGTAGACTAACCATCCACCCCAGAGCTTTGTGAGACTTCTGAAACAATAGTGGGTTGCACTTACCATCACTACCGCTTTGCTTATCACGCACGTGTGCACGTTCCATTCACACATGCGCCTGACTCGTGTTGCGCGCGCCTATGCAATCCACACCCCCCCCAAATCAGCTGATTGTCGGGGCTCATGCAGGCGCCGCACATTGTGCGCATGTGCGTAATTTGCCTTTTGTCATAAAAACAGATATAGAGCGTGAGCGGGCAGGCCAAAAGAGCCACCGTACCGGTTCACCCTCAACTGCTCCAGGCCACTACCGGTTCGGTTGAACTGGGCCGAACCGGCAGCAACCCATCTCTGCTCTGAAAGTTTAAGTGCCACCTCCTCATCTCTACCCAAAAGCTGCTGCCTGACTCTCTACTCTTGTGTGAACAGAAGGATTATTAAATACAAAGAATTACACATACTTGGGAAGATTCCTCTGAACAGTAATTCAAGCCATGGTGTTCTACTGATAGGCTTCAAAACAGAAGCAAAGGGACATTAAGTGCCATTTTGGGCCTCAATCCTGCCTAGGGTTCAGAAAGATTTTATTCCATCTGCAGCTCAGCCCTCAATGATCGAGTGTGAAAAAAGCTCCCAGAGACCTGAAAGAAAGAATTCATTTCATTTCATTCTGTAAATTTAAAAAAAAGGTTAATTCAGTAACCAGGTTAAGGTGTGGATAAAGCCATTAAAAGGACAGCTTCTTATTAATCCTATCCGAGTGGTGGCATGCAAAGCTGCTAGTAATTCAGAAAAGTTTAATAAATAGCACACCAGTATTGGGTTTGATTTTTGAGACATTTTTGTACTCATATCACAACATTGTGTTAGATTAAGAGTTCAATTACCATACGAATTTAGACTGCAAATTGGGAGCCTGATAGCAAC